AAGAGGAAACCAAAGAGACACCCTGGAGTTTCTAAATGAGGTAAACCTCTCTCTCGACCAGAAATGCAACAGGGATATGCTGTTATAACTTCACTGTTCTCCTCTCTCTCCCACCAATTTATGAGTTTCTTAAAAGAGGAATTTTGTTAAAATTGTGAATCTTCTGTGCGTAAGGCTGTGCTGATAAACTTCTGTTAAACATACAATCTAGTGGATATACAGATATATTTATATTTTTTATATAATAATAGGACAGTATTGTTCAAGTTTTATTCTTTATTAAGAAAATGAGACTATACATTGTAAAATATAATTATGTTCATTATAACATGTGATTTTATGTATGTTAATGACAATGACTTATCTTAGATCAAAATGAAACTCTTACAAAAGAAAGTAACTCTTTACCTCTTTATGTTTATGTAGAGCCTAGAAAACAAAGAATAGTTTTCCCTGTTTCTCAACTAATTCTAAATTTACGTTAGTTGATCCAAAGTAACTAAACAAGTCCCCAGCTTCACAGTAGAAGCTAAGCAGGTTAATTTATGCTTAAAGGATGTTTTTTAGACTGCATGTTGACTCCTATTGGGTAGAGTGGTTTATTTTGGATTTTCAAAATAATTTATTCTGGAATATGTGGGAACTCAAGAAATTACTTCTCTGAAAGCTCATGGCCTCTTGTGATCTATTTTAAAGGTAAACATTTCAAAATATTACATAATGCTATTACCTTAAACACTATGTCATTATAGTCCATAAACTTGAATTGCTGTTATTATAGCCATTTTGAGGATTAAATGAGATAATGAATTCCTTTAAAGCACTTGGCAACATAATGGAACCTCTAAAAAAATGGTAGCTATTATGTTGTTAGTCTTACTATATTTGAATTTAACCCATGGGGATGTTAGTTTGCATGCTCTGTGTTTCTACAGCTTAAACCAAGATCAAGCTCAATGCTTATTTTCATAAATAAAATTTCACTGGGACACAACCCTTCTGAGGCCACATTCACTTTTTGCACAACAGCAGTAGAGCTGAGTAGTTGAAACAGAGGGCACATGGCCTGAAAAGCCTGAAATGTTTACTATCTGGCTCTTCAAGAAAAAGTCTGTTGACTCCTGGCTTAAGCCCAAACCATCTTTACCAATTTTTTTAAAAGAGAGTATTTCATAAAAAATTAAGTGTGATTAAAATGACTTATCCACACTCATTTAAAACAAACCATGTGCAAGTTTCTGATACAAAGAAAAGAGATAATGTGATTTGAATAAAGACCAAACATGCTTTGGGAAACTCAGACACCCCAAATCGATAAATAGATGTGAACAAATTCTGAATGTTTCAGTAGTTCAAGAATAAAGTGATGTCTATACATTTTGTAAGTGAACTAAACCTCTACTACGTTGTTTATGAAAATCAAATTTACTTTCAGTGGTTTGGGAAGTGGGCAACAATTAATAGAAACACATGTGCCAGATTTTACTATATAATCCTTCCTGATTTTTTTTTAATAATCTTTTTTTAAAAGAATTTTTTTGTGTGTGGACCATTTTTAAAGTCTTTATTGAATTTCTTACAATATTGCTTTTGTTTTATGTTTTGGATTTTTTGCTGTAAGGCATATGGGACCTTAGCTCCCTGACCAGGGATCAAACTCGCACCCCCTACATTGGAAGGCGCTTGTCTTAACCACTGGACAGCCAGGGAAGTCCCTCTTTCTGATTTTTTAAATTAAAAAATAGTACTATATACAAAAAAGAACAATGACAAGGATTTTTCAACTACCAATGGACGCTACCTATACACTTAAATAGTATCAATGAACTCTACATTAAAATATTTGAAATTTTGTTGGAATTTCTTACAGCGTGATCATAAATCAGCTAACACACATAAACACATTAGGAAAGAGATCAATTTTGTTTATGAAAAAATTAGGTAAAATTTACTGGAGGATTCTGTTCTGTTCTTCTGTTCCCAGAATGGCTTATGTATTTACTGTATAGGATTGATTTAGTACGGCTGAGTATGCACACTGGGCTACAAAGGAAATGTTAATGGAATCTCTAAATATCCAGGGCTCCCTCAGAAGCAAATATAATTTGCTCCTTCCAGTGAGACAGGCATAAGGTCAATCACGTGTAGCCATTTCTGTTTTTATTCTAGGCATTTCTGTCATCAGCCTTTTTGCCTCTGGTTCTAATGCTATTGTGTAATTCTTCCACCTCACCTCTCTTCCCTCCTCATTCCACCCAGAGCCTTTAACTAACCTTTGGGTTTCTCGTTCCCTGTTAAACAATTTCTTCTTCACTCTCGATCTCTGAGCACAGAGTCCGCTTCTTCTATCCTTGTCTCTACCGGTCCTGTCCCAAATGCATGACTACCCCCACTGCCCTGTCCAGAAAAGGATACTCATGCTCCAATGCCCCGTGTGGCCCATGGAGGACAAGGTGTGGATGAGGAAGAGATGCCCCACCCATTACTGCTCCACACCCCTTTGAGATGTACTCCATCAGGTGAAAACCCCCTCTCCCACACTCTCCCCATGCCCTCGATAGAGGGCCCTCTATTGATCTCTGTTCACTTCTCTGTCAGTCACTCCCACGTGCCACTTACACTCCCTTCCAGAAGAACTGGCCTCAACGCTCAATGACGTGTGTCACTGTGAAGATTTAGCCAACACCATACCCCGATAGTTCCCTGCCATCTTTGCCTTGACTCCATCATTACGTCTGAGCCACCCACATCCATAGAACACCCTATATTTTGTATTTAGTTACCCAGAATTATTCTGAAATATAAATCCTGCACCCCGCTCTCTGATCACAACCTTACCTTCTAGCTCTCTTACTCCATCCCTTTAACTATACCTGTTCTTTGACCATTGGAGACCCTTGATCCTTCATTTTTACTCTTTCATTCTCCTCTTATTTTCCCTCTTTTCATATCCAACCTAGACCACAGGGTCATCATTTCAACTCCTTTGCCAACCACCCATGTTCCCTGATCCCTTGTCTCTCAGCTCCACTAGACTGAAAAAGCTCTAGAGTTGGATCAATCCAAATGTTGCCTTTCTCCCTTTTATGAAAGGCCGAAAAAAGTCACAGGCCTGTCTCAATTGGCATCGCTATAAATTTGTAGTCTCAATCTTCAGTGCTGCATTCGATGTATCAGTCATTAGCTTTTTGCATTCTCCACATGACCCGTGTCCTATCTCTCTTCTCCACAAGCTTCCCACTTCACCGTCTCATCATCAGGCTGGATGAGACCTTGTTTCCTACTTCACAGGACAGACGGAAATTACTTGATTGGGATTCCTTCAAGTCCCATCCCTGTGTTAGAAATTCACCTGCAAGGATGACCCTTGGTCCATGTTCCCCGCTGCTTTCAATGACAAGCCATGCTTTCTGTGCTGGATTTGCAGCAAAATTATACCCATTTTTCAGGTGTTGGGCTGGACATAATTTCTTCATGAGCCCCTGTCATTTGTTCTCCACAGCATAAAAAGTTGTTATTGTTCACCGTCTATATTTTTGCTAAACTGTAAGCTCCATATACGACACAGCTATCAGGCAGTGTCACATCACAGAGACTCTACTACAGTGAAAGTCTAATACTAATGATATTTTCTTACAGGAAACAAACCTCCACAAGAGAGGAATTCATAAGTGACTCCTTAAAAGGTTCTTGACACCCACATAGATGTTTATATTCAACAGCTGTATACTATCAATTCTTTTTCTGAAAAGTTGATGTGTTGGTGGACTGACTTTTTATTAACCAAATCCATTTTTAAATGCACTGGGAGAATTCTGCATATATAAGGAACTCAACTATAAGGCAAATTGATTTTGTACATGAAAAGTGGTTTTGTAATAAAAATAATCACATTGCGGGCTTCCCTGGTGGCGCAGTGGTTGAGAATCTGCCTGCCAATGCAGGGGACACGGGTTCGAGCCCTGGTCTGGGAAGATCCCACATACCGTGGAGCAACTAGGCCCGTGAGCCACAACTACTGAGCCTGCACGTCTGGAGCCTGTGCTCTGCAACAAGAGAGGCCGCGATACTGAGAGGCCCGCGCACCGCGACGAAGAGTGGCCCCCGCTTGCTGCAACTAGAGAAAGCCCCTGCACAGAAACGAAGACCCAACACAGCCAAAAATAAATAAATAAATATTTTTTAAAAAAATCACATTGCGATGTTTCTGCTTTTTAAGTTGTCTTTTTCATATATTGGATTTCTTGAAGTGTAGCACAGCTGGATATGCATTCCTCACTTATATGATGAATGGGTTTTGAAAGAGCTGTCTGTCAATTTTTACATAAGTACATAACCACTGAATTCTAAGATATATTTTAGAAATAATTTTTTACAATGAAAAAAAGTAGTGGTCTCTGGAAATCATTAAAAAATATTTAAGAATCAAATATTAACAAAGTTACCCCAGCAATAAGAAGTCTATTACAAAACTCTGGTATGGGATGCGGAGTGCTGGATGATGCTAATTTAATCACTAAACCTACCTGTTCCTGACTGGACATCTTTAGTGCAGGTTGCAACACCTCAGATTTTTAGAACAGAAATCCTTCAGTTTCTCCCCAGCCCCCTCCCTGGTACTGTTGAGCTGACTTGCTCATTTATAATATTCTGATTCTGTGCTTTGCTTACACTTAGGAGGAAACAGACTAACACAACATGACAAAGGAGAGAAAATGAGAGGTTGATAGGAAAATAGCAAGATGGCCAGAGTAACCGTGGGGCAAGGTTACCGTGGCAATGTGACACACTGTGGGAAAGATCACTCAGGCCCAGGGCGACAGGAAACAAATCAGGCAACACAGTGACCAAGGGAAACACCTCTGAAGCAGACAATGAATCAGCTTTGGTCAGAGTCAAGTAATTAACAAACTGCAATTTTCACATTGAAAAAAGGTGCTATGACTAGCCGAGGTTTTCGTGTACCTTGAAAAGTGATCTGCACCCCGTGAGCTGCTTACCTCCGCAAGATAGAACTCGTCGTATTGCCTTCTGAAGGTTTCTCCTTTGTGATAGTTGCTGGCAGCCACTATCACATCCACAGTCACCATGCTCAGGATGAACATGTGGAAGACGGATGACCGCATCATTTGCTGAGGAGGCAAAACAGATGGACTCTTAACAAAGAAACAAACCCGTGATTCAACAGAACTATGTGCTTAGGCCTTGGTCTGCAACATCTTTGTGATATGCTGCTGTGCAGAACAGTCTTTTTTTAAAAAAAATTTATTTTATTGACGTATAGTTGATTTACAATGTTGTGTTAATTTCTGCTGTACAGCAAACTGATTCAGTTATACATACATACATTGACACATTCCTTTTCAGATTCTTTTCCGTTATGGCTTATCACAGGATATTGAATATAGTTCCCTGTGCTCTACAGTAGGGCCTGTTGTTTATCCCTTCTATATAATAGTTTGCGTCTGCTAATCCCAAACTACCAATCCTTCCCTCCCCCACTCCCCTGCCCCTTGGCAACCACATGTCCAGAACAGTCCTTCTAAGATAACTTGATGAATGTCACTAAATAGTGTGAGCAAAGGAATCATTTTTCTGCAGGCAGCTAAAAAATAACTGGGGAGACAGTTTCAGAGACTTTTGGTTAAAAGCTGAAAATACATTTCATTGAACTTGTATACAGCCTGTATCTTAATTTTCACTGATTAGTTAGGAAGCTTTTATCCTTACTACTGACTCTGTGCAGAAATTATTTTTGGAAAGCTGATACCACATAACAAGTATTGCTTTATTCTGTTAAGAGAAAGAGCTACTGCTGAGGAAAGCATTTTAGAGATAATCATAAAAGCAGAAAAGTGGGAGAAACCTAAGATCTATTTATTTTTAAATTTATTGCCTCTGTAAATTATTTATTTCTTTAAATTACTATTTTTAATAATTTACTCTCTATGTTTTAAACCACTTTATTGAGGTATGGTTGACTTTAAAAAAAGTGGTACATATTGAATGTATACAACTCAAGGAGCTTGGGGGTAAAAATACACCCATGAAAGCATCACCATCATCAAGGCCATATACATATCCGTCACCTCCCAAAGCTTCCTTTCAACTCCATTATTATTATTATTAGTGGTAAGAACACAACATAAGATCTATCCTCTTAGCAAATTTTAAATATACAATAGAGTATTGCTAACTACAGGCACTTATGCTGTATAGTAGACCTTCAGAATTTATTTATCTTATATATTGGAACTTTGTACCCTCTGCATAAATATGTTATTGAAAATTATACTACAACTAATAATAGCTAATGTCTATATTTATAATTATTATGTGCCTGGAGCTGTTGTAGGTGCTTTACATAAATTAACTCATTTAATGTCATAACGGCCCTAGGAAGTTACTCTAACTTTATAGAGAAGGAAACTGAGGCTCAGAGAAGTTAAATAACTTCCTGTCTGACACACACGTGTTGAAGATGGAACCACAATTTGGACCCAAGTCTGGTCCAAGTCTGCTGCCTATACTGAGGTGAAATAATTAGGCATTCCAAAAAAATGACTATTATTATAATAGCTACCATGTATTGAATACTATAAGTATGTTATTTATTTCATTTCTTTTCATCTCCACCATATACACAGTGGGATATATTACTCACTTCTTCCAGTGAGTTCAGAAAGATTAAGTCATTTGTCCAAGGCCACACAGCAAGTATACAGCAGAGCCAGGCTCCGTACCCATGTCTGTTTAAGTCCATTCTGGTAGCCCCTGCCCACTGTGGGGTAGGAAGTATATAAAAGGACAGAGTAGAAGCTGAAGGCCCTGGGCAGAAGAAGGAGGAGAGAGAGGCTGACCACATAACAAACCACTGAATCACATCCCTTGGCGCCAACTGCCCAGGGACTGGTGCCACCATGTAGCACGGTCTCGCCTGTTCTTAGTACTTACAGACACATAAGGACACCATTTGATCTCGACCTGAGACTCCTTCGGTCTTTGCAACTGAAAGAACATAACTAAAGCAGAACCTAAGAACAGAAAAAGAGGCAAAGGATGCCTCTGAACCCACCACTGGCTCTCTGCATCCACATATGCACATTCATATGGCTTCATGGCCCTGCAGTCAGCAACAGCACGGGCTCTGAGCCAAAGTGCGTGGAGCTGAAACTCTACCACATACGAACTCTGGCCCTGAGCAAGATACTTAAACCTCTCTGTGCCTCAGTTTTCCCATCAGTAAAATGGAGACAAAACTGGCTACTCTAAAAGTTGTTATCATAAACAAGTAAATATCTGTAAGCTCTTACATCAGCACTTGCATATTATAAATGTTCTATTAAGATTTGCAGTAAAAAAAATGCAGTTCTGTGAATGAGGTCTTTTTCTGTTCAGGAATGAGAAATAAATTGTACTAGGTCAAAGAATTAATTATGTTGTATATTTGAGTCCAGAGCCAAGTGAGATAAATAAAAGTAATAAAGTCTAATAATGTGAGAGATGTCAGAGCCATTGGAAAAGCAGATATCTAATAAGGTTGTGTGTCACCATGGCTACTGATGCATTCTTACATCCATTTATTTGCCCTTGACTTTATTTTATGGGTAATACAAAATCAAGTTCCAGAACTGTCAATCAACATATTTAAATGCACATCAATTTGCTTGCAGGAACTACTGACCTTCATAAAGTAGATAAGCAGATCAGTGGCCAAGTTTCTATCCTCACTAGAATTTTTATTTAGTCTTTCTTGCATTGTGAGAGTTAAATTCCATAACTATTATTCCTTTTCTATACTCTTTTCAATATAATGTTCTATTAAAAACATTTCAACTGATTTCCACTTCATCTGCATGACAGAAAAGCCACAACTTTCTATTTTCCTTAGCTGTGGATTTATGTCTTAAGTAAACTGTTATTACTGAAAGGTCCAAACAAAGCTTTTAGCCATGGCTGTCAAAAAACTTTTAAATTGGTTTTGTAACTGTCACAGCTTCACTTTGGTGCTGTCATTATAATCAGATTATTTTTTGTCTGAATGTCTACATATCCCTGTTGGTACAGAGTCATTAAAGTAATCACTTACAATGGATTTTGATATGCTATAATCACCATTGCTCGGCTGACTTTCTCCAAAGTAATAACTTTCAAATATTAAATAAGAATTAAGGTAATCAGTATGTGCAGTAGCCAAATTTAAATAATAAAACCAGTAACTTTAGCTTTAAAGATAGAGCTAGCTACACAGACCACTTCAACTCAATCCAATGCAACCAACGTTTGAACTTGGCTACAGGCTTCCTTAGTGCAGAACGGCTGGCAACATTACACTCAGAGTCACACTTACATCCATAGGACAGTCCAAATTTATACCCCGCGATTTTTCATTTTGTTATAAAAATTAATGTAAAGGAAAATGTTAAAGTTGTAAGTGCCAAAAAATATTATATAACTTGAGATTTTCACAATTGTATGATTTAATATGGATGTAGGCTATACAGATAAACTTACACATACATATATATATGTATATATGTATGTGTGTGTATATATATTTATATATATATATATATTTATAGATATATTTAATATAAGACTCTTCAGATCCTGCCTACACATTAGCTTTTTAAAAAATCCCTTCAATTGCAATGTCTTTTTTTTTTTTTTTTTGCGGTATGCGGGCCTCTCACTGTTGTGGCCTCTCCCGTCAAGGAGCACAGGCTCCGGACGCGCAGGCTCAGCGGCCATGGCTCAAGGGCCTAACCGCTCCGCAGCATGTGGGATCTTCCCGGACCGGGGCACGAATCAGTGTCCGCTGCATCGTCAGGCGGACTCTCAACCACTGTGCCACCAGGGAAGCCCTGCAATGTCATTTTGATTTATATTTTTAAACCATCAGAAAAAGTTTGCACATGTTTTGAGTTTGGCTTTGATCCAAGACCTACTGATTTCTGTATGTGACAGTTGGAATTATCAAAATATGAAGAAGAGACTACAGCAGAATCATCCCCAAGGCAGCAATGTCAGGAATGCTCAGAAGCCTTGTTATGCAAAGTGTGGTCCCTGGACCAGCAGCTTCCTGGGAGTGTGTTAGAAATGCAGAGACCTACTGAATCAGAATCTGCATCTTTAGCTGTGATTAATGTGGATAGTAAAGTTTGAGAAGCTCTGTTGTAGAGGAAACTCCTAAGTAGCAGGTTAAACTGGGTGACCTATAAAATGTTTTACGCATTCACAATTTTATGATTCTAAAAGCTTGTAATCACTGACTAAAACATATAACAAATACTGGCTGGCATATTATGGCTCTATATTAAGAAACATCATCACAAAAATGGATGTCCACCTCCCAGTGCCTCAACTCCAAAATCAAAAATCAATTAAACCGGGGAGCTTCCGGGAAGATGGCGGAAGAGTAAGACGCGGAGATCACCTTCCTCCCCACAGATACACCAGAAATACATCTACACGTGGAACAACTCCTACAGAACACCTACTGAACGCTGGCAGAAGACCTCAGACCTCCCAAAAGGCAATAACCCCCCCCACGTACCTGGGTAAGGCAAAAGAAAAAAGAATAAACAGAGACAAAAGGATAGGGACGGGACCTGCACCAGTGGGAGGGAGCCGTGAAAGAGCAAAGATTTCCACACACTAGGAAGCCCCTTCACGGGCGGAGACTGCGGGTGGCGGAGGGGGGAAGCTTCGGAGCCGCGGAGGAGAGCACAGCAACAGGGGTGAGGAAGGCAAAGCGGAGAGATTCCCACACAGAGGATCGGTGCCGACCAGCACTCACCAGCCCGAGAGGCTTGTCTGCTCCCCCGCCGGGGCGGGCGGGGCTGGGAGCTGAGGCTCGGGCTTCGGGTCGGAGCGCAGGGAGAGGACTGGGGTTGGCGGCGTGAACACAGCCTGCAGGGGGTTAGTGCGCCACGGCTAGCGGGGAGGGCGTCAGGGGAAAAGTCTGGACCTGCCGAAGAGGCAAGAGACTTTTTCTTACGTCTTTGTTTCCTGGTGCGCGAGGAGAAGGGATTGAGAGCGCTGCTTAAAGGAGCTCCAGAGACGAGCGCGAGCCGCGGCTAAAAGCGCGGACCCCAGAGACGGGCATGAGACGCTAAGGCTGCTGCTGCCG